GAATCGAGAAATTATTAGTATAACATTTTAAAACTTGAAATTACATATACTGAAAGGGAAAATAAATTATCAACTTAATTTGCTTTTGAATTGTACGTAACAATGGTAATAGATAATAAATTTGGTTTTAGTTGCTAAGTACTATAAATAAATTGAAAAAATAAAAAAGATTTAGCAGTTGTACCTTAAAGATTGAAAGAAGGTAAATGCATAATTGAAATCAATCAGGAAGACAAGGGAATTAAAGAAAAAAGATTTACTATTATATATAGTTAAAGGCTGAAGATACCTGAATGGAATCTTCTTTGTGTTGGATCCTGTCCCTGTCTATCCAGATATCTGGAATGTGAGAGATGAAGTCCCACTCGGAACCACTTCCTCTGGTGCATCTTTCCTTTAACTCAGGGCATCCATCAATATAAAGGCTTTCTAATTTGGAGAGGCGTCGGATGGCTTTCATATGTTTCAGAGATTTGCAGTTGGAAATCTCCAGAGTTTTAAGAGAGGATAAGTTTCCAAACCAATTTGGCAAAGCTTCCAGTCCATCAAAATCCCTTATTTCGAGAGACTTAAGGGCAGTTAGGTGTTGAATTTGATCCAGCAGACGTTCTCTTGGTTCTCCCCATGCAATCAAAGTCAATCCTTCAAGATGAGATCCGATGAAGCCCAGATCTGGAAATTCGTTGAGCTCTGTTGAGAAACCACCAATAGTCAGCCCCTTCAAGCGAGCAAGGCAGGCAAGGCTAGGGGTGCTCCAGCTCCTCCTCAAATCATCTGGAATAGAGATTAGATTATCACAGTAGGAGATATGCAATTCCTCAAGAGCAGTGCATGATGGCAACCCACTTGGCAAACTTCTTAATCCACCACAACACGTTATCCGTAGAGTCTGAAGATATGAAAGCCCATAGAGGTTCGGAAAGGACATCAAACCGTCGCAGCAGTTTACAATCAACTCTTTGAGACACGTGGCAGTAGATAAATCCTTTCCTATGCTTTTCAATTGCTTACAGAAACTTATTAGAATTTTTTGAAGAGAGGACAGCCCATGGAGGTTTGGAAAGGACATCAAACCATAGCAGCCTGTTATAGTCAACTCTTCGAGACACGTGGCAGTAGATAAATCCTTTCCTATGCTTTTCAATTGCCCACACCAGCGTATTTCAATTTTTTGAAGAAAGGACAGCCCATGGAGGTTCGGAAAGGACATCAAACCATCGCACCCCTCTACAGTCAACTCTTTGAGACACGTGGCAGTAGATAAATCCTCTCCTATGCTTTTCAATTGCCCACAAAAGCTTATTAGAATTATTTGAAGAGAGGACAGCCCATGGAGGTTCGGAAAGGACATCAAACCATCGCACGCAATTATAGTCAACTCTTTGAGACACGTGGCAGTAGATAAATCCTCTCCTATGCTTTTCAATTGCCCACAGTCGTATATTTGAATTTTTTGAAGAGAGGACAGCCCATCTACACTGGGCATGGACATCAGGCTATCACAAATCTGAATATTTAACTGTTGTAGACACGTGGAGTTAAATCGAGCATCATCTCCGATCATCGTCAATTCCGTGCATTGCTGAAGTTCAAGTACCTCAAGGGATTGTAATTTACTAATCATCGGAAGATTTACCAATTTACCACAACTCTCTATATGTACTTCTTTGAGAGACTTCATGGCAGCTTGTCCAACCTCTACCCCAACCAGTTCTTCACATTTCGTAATGATGAGTTTCTGAAGGGACGAATCTGCAATGCTTTTCAAATTCTTGCAACAATTAATTTCCACCTTTGCCTCCTTGTTGAGTGACAATGATGGAATGCTTTCCAACCAGGGACATGCAAAAAAGGTCATGAACATCAGATTTTTGAGAAAATTTTTTGTTTCTAATATCCATGAAGGACAGCTTTTCCCACAGTAGCGTTCAATAGTTAGGCCTTTCAAATTTGAGTGAGGTTGGAGGCCTTTCAAGATATCTTTATCTTGTTTGCATCTATCTTCACTAAGATTAGACTCCCCACCAAACTGCAACTGCAACTCCTGCATTGTACCCTTTTCAGAAAGTCTTGCTCCCATGGCTTCTTCTTTGTCTCTAACCATATGCAAATTACGAATCTCTAATTTTCCCCGGAGTTGGCTTAAACATCCCAATTCTTCAATTTGATGTCCCTTCTGTTGGCCTACAGCAAATAATTGTAATGTTTTCAAACAAGTTAATCCACCAATCCCAGATGGCATAAGCTTTTCATCATTGAAATAAATGTGTCTCAAATTGACTAAATCCCATATTCCTTTCAAAGGCCTCTTGATTTCCCCACAATTCATAAATCTAAATGTCTGCAAATGATAGAGCTTAGTGATGAATTTGGGAAGTTCTTTGATTTTAGTTTCTGAAACATCCAAAAACCTTAAATGCTTCATTTTCCCCAAAAAAGCTGGCAACTTATGAATATTAGCACCGCAAAAACTAAGAACCCGCACCTTTCTCAAGTTCATGGACATACTGTGAAAGACATCAACTTGTGAAAACAAAGTGTGCAATTTTTTAGTGGCATCCCCAAATCTTGTTGCTGCCATACCCTTATCAGAAATGACATTTAAATGTCGAACGTCTGCAGGATTATTCCTTCTGCTGCCATCTTCCAAAATCAAAGTTTGGGACTTTGAAACAAATTGTGCAAGATCATGAACTAAATCATGCATTTTGCAAGCAATAATGCTCCCATAAGAATCTCTCTCAACATTTTGAAATAAAGAATATGAGAACAATACATTGAAATACTTATCACCAATATCCTCCATCTCCAAGTAACTTTCATTGAATGGCTGAAGAAATCCCTCAGCCATCCAAAGCTGGATTAACATCTCCTTTTCCATGACAAAATCTTTAGGGAAAATAGAGCAAAAGGCAAAACATTGTTTCAAAGCAGGTGTTGGCAGGCGATTGAAACTCAACTGTAACACATGCAAAACTCCGTTAACTTCTTCTATTGAACCCCATACTTCACTGTTATCTTTAATTGCTAACCAAACATCCTTGCTCTTGTTATTGCACAAAAACCCCCCAATAACATTTGCAACTAACGCTACACCTCGACATTTGCTAGCAATGTCCCGTCCAATCCCCTCCAATTCTGAAGGGAATGATGAGCTAACTAATACTCTTTGCTTGATTATGGACCAACAATCCTCATCTGTTAGCTTCTCGAGATGATGGATGTGCTCAGGAGGTGTTCCCATTATGGTAGCTACATTTTGACTTCGCGTTGTGACAAGAAGCCTACCCTTAACATCTTCACCCATTGCCAACAAACAGGTCCTTAAGTTTTCCCATTTTTGGCTATCTTCATTCCATACATCATCTAATATGAGGAGATAGTTTTTCCCCTCACGCCCTTCATTTTTGGCCTTTCCCTCTAGCTTTTCTTTTCTGGCCTCTTCCTTCAGCGTTTCTTTTTCAGCCTCCTCCTCCAGCCTTTTTCGCAGTTCTTTAACTACTCTATCTTGACTCATAAGATCCACCGAGTTATCATCTTTATTAATAACAGTTTTCAACATCTCTACTAAAATTTGTTTCACATGAAAATTTTCAGAAACACAAACCCACATTATTTTTAAAAAATGTCTCTGTATCTGCTCATTGTTGCACACTACCTTTGCCATGGTAGTTTTGCCTATGCCTCCCATCCCCACTATGGATACAACACAAACAGGTTGATTGTCACTAGGGTCAATCAACGATTTAATTACTTCTTGGGCCTTATTTTCTCTTCCTACAATTTTTGATGGGTCACCAAGTGAGGAATCTGTCTGTTGGATTTCTATATGGTCAGGAAGCTTGTTTGCAAGTCTATATTGCAGTCCTAACCCAGTGGCCCAAACATTAAGGTCAGCTAGGTCTAAATTTAAATTCTTAATCCTATTAGCTATCTTAAGGCGAAAAGCTAAAGGATTGGAAAGAGTAAAGAAATAGCTGACCTTTTTCCACATTTGTTTTTTAGCCACTTTGTACCTTAGATGTTCATATGCAATCTCATCTACCACATTGTCAGCTTCATCAACTATATTTCCAAGCTCCTTAAGCCAATCCTGCAGATCAAAGTGACCTGTCACCTCCTTCTGCTCAGCATCTTGCAGCACACCCCTTAGCATTCTCAGCACCACACGGAACTTCTTGAGCTCCTGCTTGAATCCCACTGCTAAGTTGAGTTGCTCAGTAGTAACTGAAATCACCTTGGATGTTGTGACATCCACAAGAGGACCAAGAATAAGGTCAGCCATAGTTGCTTCAGTAGTTTGGAAGAGAGAAATGTTTGGAGATTGTACAACAGAAAAGAGGAGAGAATAATGTGAAGGGGGAAGAGAATAGCTACAGGCAACATTTATACAGGCCAACAATAGAAGGTGAAGGTTGAAGTTTGGTGCTTGTCTAACGAATGAAGAAAAAGATAAAAGGGATGCGTGATGAGGAGGAAAAGATAAAGGATCACCCTGTATGATATCTTTCTTAAAACACAAGTATTCTTCTCCTCCATTGTTGTTAGTTAATCAGTTGATGCAATATTCCTTTATGGTAGCATCTTAGATTTCTATGGACTAAATATATAAGAATACATAGCATATTTCCTCTTCTAAGAAAAGAATAGTCTCTTTTCCAATCAAATAAGTCGAAATGATGAAGGAAGAGGAGGCAAAAAAATAAAGTGTTCCTCTTTCCTCTTTCGCGTAGATTTCTCTCTTTACGCTTTGAAGATACCAGATTTTCCCAAATTCAGCGTGGGTTCCTTTCTTCTTTGCCGCGGCTTACAACACTATCTTCTCTCATCATTTTCCTTTAATTTAGCTTGGGCTAGATTAACTGTTCGGAATTGGGCCTGTTTAAATGGAGAAACATGAAGTTTCGGCTTTTTGGGTTGAGCATCTTAAGCCCAAATTTGCTTTTCAAAATCAAACCATTTTAAAGCCAGACTGATTTTTCCACTTTCTTATTAGGGTTATTTGGTTAGGAATCATTTTATTAAAAAAAATTATTAGAAAAATAATTAAAAAATATTATATAAAATGTTACTAAATTTTGTAATAATTTTTTTTTAGAATTTTATTAAATTATCAACATTATTTTGTTTGATAAAAAAAGTTAATAAGAAAAGTTATTGAGTAGATTCAATACACAACAACTTAAAAAAAAAAGTGAAAAAAAAAATTTATAAGTTGAGATTTGTGTTAACAAAAATAAATATTAAAAAAATCACTTTTATCCTTCTTTTACTATAGTATTAATATGTGAAAATGCATAAATAACTTAATAAGGGATAAAATTTAAAAAAAATTAAGGAAAAAATTACCTCAACCAAACACCCCCTACTGTTTTCTTAGTTCTCTTTCACCATTTTTTTTATCTTTTATTTTTTTTCAGTTTATATATTTTTTTATAGTAAAATATCTTCGGAAACTTATGAGTAATCCTTCCCCTGATGATCTCAGGGTACACGTACCCGTCGTAAAAAAAAAAAATTTTTTTCGAACTAAAATTTAATAATAAACATGAATTATAAAACTAAACTTACAAAATAACAATTGCTTAGCAATCAACCTAATCCTACAGTCTACTTTCCTTTTATTCTACAACTGGGAAGGAAACAAATTAATTTATTTCAACTGAGCTTGGGGATTGGAAATTGGAATAACGGCCTCAAAATTTTTTTTTTTTTTTTTAGAATGAATTATGCATACTTTCTCAAAACAAACAGCATTAACATCAAATTAGAAGAATTGCACCCAATTCAAATATCATACCAACCAAATAAACTATGAATCTACATTAAAGAGAGCAAACAAAATGGAACAGAAACTGTACCTTTTTCAGTGACGAATTTCAACTCTCAAATTTCTTCCTCCCCTATTTAGTTTCTTCATCGTCCCTTCCTATACTGCAACTGTGGTGTTCTGCATTTCTCTTCTCTTTTCCTCGCCTCTTTCTTCCATTTTCAGGTTTTTCCTTTTTCCTATTCAGCATGGATTTCTTTC